TTATTAAGACTCTTTTTTATTAAGCATTCTCTATACCAAATCTTATTATTGTTTGGGATATACACATTTTTACGAACAAAACTCCGAAAATTTGTCAAAATATAAGGTAATAAAAAATAAAAATACATAGGTAAACTTTTAATTTTGTGAAAAAGAAATTCCTTTCTTTCCATTAATTTAGAAGTTGTGCCATTCTGATAGCCTAAAACATTATTGTACTATAAATAATGTTTTCAGATCGCGTCTTTTAGTAAGATGGTCACGCAAATCTAAGTTGGCCATGCAAACGTAATGAAGGAGAGAATGGGGTTCCTTCATGAGGTCCTGCACACCATGTCCATCAATTTATAAAGCTGGGAATGCTCAATAAAATTTAAAAAAAATAGTAGGAGTAATTAAGTAATTTTGACTCACTCTGTATAAACGGTTAGAACTAACTTCAAGACAAGTATAGGATAAACGACTGTACCACTTTATAAAATTGCTGGAATAATAAAATTACAGCTGTCGGAAACGGTGTCAAAAATATAGGGAATTAAACACAGAGTATTTTTGACGAAAAAATGGCTATAAATCCGAAACGCCCTCACACTCACACTCAGTATAGACCATATCGACCCCATATTGGCTGAAATATAAAATGGAGCCATAATATACAGGATTTTCCATTTAAAAAAGTATAAGTTTGATTTTCCACATATTAATTGTCTCATCTATAATTCTTGCATTCAACATTTTTCATTAAAACAAATAATAAATCAGACATATTACTTTGACAGACTATTTGCTTACCAAGCACTTCACGATATACATCAGAGTATCGTCCATGGAGGACGAATGCTGATGGAGCTTTCGATATGATACAACAATATATAACTCTTCATGAGAAATGCAACTTTGCTAACTGCACGCGCAAAAATTGAAAGGACTAAAAAAATGGGAATCGTCGTCAAGCTTATACTTTCATCGGAATGTCGCTGTCAACTACATTTAATCGACTATCATTCTCATCCAGCCCGGGAATATAAATTTGTAATAATCTATCAGGATCATCTAACGAAATTTGCGATATTAAGAGCACACAAAATAAAAAGCGCGTTCAATTTAGTGGATATTTTCACACTGATTGGTGCCCTAGGAATCCTACAATCTGACAAAGGTAGGGAATTTTCAAACGAAATTGTGAGTAGTCTTAGGACACTGACCGAGTTTAAAAATTGTTCATTGCAAGCCTAGACATTCCCAGAGTTAGAGGAGTGTCCAACGAGCAACCCGGGACGCATATTCATAACCAACGTAGCGGATCGCACTTCGGATTTAGTCGAAAAAGGTTTTATAAACCACGTGTTTGGTTGCACGCTACGTGGCCGATCGCCCTCGTTGTTTATAAATTTAAATTTGCATATTATAGGATTTTATTGATATCACAGTTTAATTAGCATTGGTTGGATTATCTTATCTTCTTAGCTATCAGAAGAAATTTGGAATTATCGGACTTATTAGGTAAATACTTCCTTTTTAAATAAATAATAATCAGAAATTATTTAAATGTGCCTCTAGTTATATATTCACATAAAACTCGTTTTAATAATAAAAATAATATTACAATTTTAGAGAAAGAGTATCTTGAAAATTAATAATAATACACAAAACATAATGTTGTGTTTTTTGAAATAATATTGTGTTAATATGTGAACAAGTTTTTATTTTAAATATTGAGGGTATAAAAATATTTATATGCTAATAATAACAAATTCCTTATATTCTACAGAATAGAATTAAAGGAACAACATAAAAAAAAATCTAAAAAAAGGAACTTGAATAGGTTCTATAGGTATAGGTATATACAAAAATTTTGTCCCAAAAAAGAGTGTCAAGAAGTAGCTCACAGGTATGTAGGGTATCCCTCTAGGAATCTGAAACACCTTTATGTAATCTAACTCTATTTAGTTTAATACGAGTTTATTTTTATTTATTAATGAGTTTTTTATTTATTTTTGATTTTGTAATGATTTTTAATAAGGGATTTTTATAAATATTTAGCTAAAATTTGGACCTGAAACAAGTTTATTTAACAAATCGGAGCAATGCGCTTTTAAATAACAAAGTTTTACCCTGTTTATTAGGTCTGGTATATGTGTTTTAACTTGTATATTTTTTTAAATGTTGGCATTAGCTTAATTTATTTGTTGTTTTAATTCGTACCAACTAATAGACAAAAATCGGATATGCATTTGTTTCCTCGAGAAGTGTTCTATCTTTGTTCCAAACAAGAGCATAAAACACACAATAAAACACCCATACCTATAACAAAAACAGATTAAAATAAACAAACCTTATTTTTCAAAAAATTTAAACAAATATAAAAAATTTATTTGACAAATTTGTTATCCCCCAAACTTATGTTACTCTCCACACATTTTGAGAGCGAATGGACAGCTTTACGTTTCTTTTTAACTAAGATATCGGTATGCCTTCCAGCTAGTAATTTTCTCCTACCATTAATAACATCCAAAAGTCTTTGTTTATAATAGCTTTCAAAGTCAGACCTAATAAAATTAGCAAGCTGTGAGAGATTATAGGCTTTAGTACGTTCTAGAGGAATATCTTTAAAAATACGAAACATTACCTCCACAGTATTATTTGTATCAGAACCTCTGGTTTTTAAATCTTTCCTGTAGTACAAAGACCATGACTGTATATCTTTAATTTTGTTGTTAATATAGTTTTTATAATTCTCAAATTTTGCGTTGGCCTGCAATGCTTGAATATTAATATCGAGGTCTTCCTTGGTTTGGGCATATAAGATGTTCTTAAATAATTTGTAATGGTAGGGTCTGTCATCTTTGAATATGCCATTACGAGCAATGTTAAGCCATTTCCAAACTGCTTTTAGGACATGAAAAGTACATAAAAACATTTTAGATTCAGGCCAGTGCTTTTGAAGAATCTTTCTTTCGGTCAGATCATCATCGGTAAGAATAATTAATTAACATCCAACAAATTTTTAACTGCTATATCAAATAACTCTTCTTTTTGACTTGTTGAAATGATACAACCTAAGGGAATGCCACCCACAGCGGATTGTGTGGCAAAAAAATATATTTCGTGATTTTGTACATCACAATTACTTGTCGCATCGACAAAGAGAATTTCTGATGACTGGGCTAATAAATTTGATGCTCGCTTCATTATTGGGGTGCATAATGATATAACGTAATGATTGTCAATATAAGATATTTTGTATGACACTTTACTATTCGTCAAATTTTCTTCTAACTTATTAAACATAGCAACTCCTATCCTTTCACCATAATTACTTTTGAAATCTTTTGCCCATAGGTTTTGAAAATCGGTTTTATTGGGAAAATAATGACGATCAGCTGATAAGGTATTGTATTCGTCTCCCCATTCTTCCATTTTATTGAAACAGAAACTATGATATGCTGACGACACTGAGTGACCCCTTTCAAAATATTCTAAAATTTCGTGTTTTGTGCTATCACTTATAGGACGTCGAGTGAGTGCAGTAGCGCTAAGGATAGTGTGATTATGTTCTCCTGAAAATTGTATTTTGCAAGGCCAATCGTTGGCAACACCGTCCAGAGATTTAGCTCTTGATTTTCTTTTGGATATGTGAACCAAAAAAATTGTCAATGTTGCAGGACAAGATGTATTCCGTGAAGCATGTTTCCTTTTTTGAGAACCAGACGTCCGCGTCGCAGATGGAGGGCGATAATCTGTATTGAAGTGATAGTATATTCGTTTAAAAATATTTTTTTTGGCTTTCTCAGGTGGCGTTCTAATAGTTCTTGTAATTGTCCATGTTACCTTAGACACATTCATAAGCTCGGCTAGCCAGTTCTGGAATTAATTAAACATGCGATGTACCTATTTCATTTTACAATTTTGTAGCACCCCATCTCGTTTTTTTATATGGACATTAAACATTATAGCATAATATGGCATATCATTGGTCATCGCAATCTTGATTTTTTTGTAGACACAACATCGTTTATACTTTAAAGCTTAATATTACCTACAGTTTATAAGAAAAATATAACAAATTATACATCGAAATTTAGGACATTTTACAATCTCTTCAAAAATCTTATAATAGACAGGGTGGTCCACATAAAAGAAACGAGTTTGGGGTGGTGGACGAAATCTAAACACCCTGTAAAAAAACTGCAAAACTACAAAGTGCCCAAAGAAAGTTTGTACCAAAATTAATTATCTCAATTAATAAAAAAGTTATGGAACGTATTAGAAATCGACGAAATTTGAGAAACGCCCCCTAGCGGCCAACGGGTAAGAGATAGCAAAATTGTACACAATTACATTCTTTTTATTTAAGGTTACGATTCTATATTATTTAGTAATTATTTGATTAAAATAAAGACAAAAGTACCTCAATCTGACATTCAGTCTGAAATTTCGTCCTCACCAAACCTTCATTAATTCGTAAATAATCAGCATTTAATAATTCATCTAGAAACTCCATTTTTTTAAACAGGAACACGACAAATACAACTTAAACAATGCACACATTTTAATTCCATAAAGCACGTTTGAAATCGGCACAGAAAGTGCAACCACGCGCGTGGTTTATAATTTCGCGACGTGTATTTTCGCTGTGCATTCAGCTACTTGGATTATGATAATGCACATCTAAAACATGCTAACAACTTGAATATAAGATAATGCCATTGACCGTTAGAATGATGGTCTACGATTGATACAACTTATTAATCCCTTTTCGGATATAAAATAAAAGTTGGTATATCTTTGAACGTCAATGATGCTTACAAGCTGGAATGTGTGGTTAAGTCATTAGCAAAGATTTCCATTCGATTATTATTATTATTATTATTATAAAATGATTGATTTTGGTAAATTAAATCGTAAGAAACAGAAAGTCGTCATTTTTATTTAGTTTTCTGTTATATGGATGGAAAACTACTGAGGCAGTAAATAAAACACCTTTTTTAAAACTCCTTAACACCTATATATACTTTTTATACATGTTACGCAACAACATCCGTCATCATAGCGCGTCGCCTATACACCTCTATTTACAACATTGGAAAAAAATGCACCAAGTCAGTGGCGTCCGAGAACTATGTGGTACAGCTTCAGTATCACGTATGACGCTAGATGACTGACTATGAATACTGCGATGACTTTAAACACGGTGTTCAACGCGACGAACCTGCAAAAAAATTGAAAAAATGGAAGAATGAAGCGATGTTATAAAATTATTGAAATTTGAAAGAAGGTTGTATTTTAATTATTGCGAAGAAGTGAAACTTTCCAAAAAAGTTTTATTATTATTACTTATCATATACATTTCTAAATATATAAGATGAATCGGCGGACATTTTATCATTTATAAATTGATATAAAATTAATAGTTATTAAACTATTTTGTGTTGCTTTGGTCGTTGAAAATGCGTCTGTTTAGTTTTTTAATGATAAAACTTAAGAGAATAACGAACCATAAACAGTAAAATTGAACAAACTACTGAATACTCTAATGCCTGTAGAATATACATTTTTTGCAAGATATGTTCACAAAAGAAAGAGGATGTATCTTATTGCTTGCAATAATTCTGTGTTCAAACAGGCCGATTAATGCAAGAGTTTTTAGTAATAAAAATAAAACAAAAAAAGTTTTAATTCACTTGAAACAAAAATCTCTCCTCAGTGATAATATGCTTTTTGGTTTGAGAGTTAGGTAAGATTTAGGGGCTGGGAATTGAACAATTTAATTGCTTCCCAGTTCCTTCGTGCATTATGTTATAAATATTATTTTTGAAGATAATTCCTATTCCTATTCTATCTATATTAATGATATAGGCTCTAATATTTCAAGTCACATTCTGCTATTTGCAGACGGCTTAAAAATGCAAAGGGTATAAGTACACAAAATGACTGCAAGGCTCTGCAGAATGATATAACTACGCTGTTATCATTAGATTTTCTAGAAAACTAAATCCAATTTCTTGCTTGTATTGTATTGTATGTTGATAGTGACTTAAATTTTAACATGCACATTGAAAACTTAGCCAAGTCAGCAATCGGGAACCTCGATTTATTTTCCGCATTTCTTAAGGGTTTGATGATGCTAATAATAATTTCGATAATAATAATAATTCCTATTCAAATTGGACAAGCGACTTAATTTTTCGTTCTTGGAGTCTGAGAGGGCGGGCGCCTCGGTAGTATTTATATATAAACTATGTAATGGTGTCATCGATTGTCCAGAGCTGCTAAAGCAACTTAATTTTCGTACTCTTTCTTTTAATGAACGACATGGTGTTCACTTCCTTCAACGAACTACATTGGAACGAGGGGCGCACTTTTCAGGCGACGAGGAATTTAAAATGAGCTGAGAGCGAGACTGGCGTAGATCTGGAATTATTTATAAAGACTGTCAAGGAATACCTGAAAGGTCTGTGATATTTGCTGTTTCTTCCTAGCTGTCTCATGTCAATGTTAATAGTATATTATGCAACAAGTGCGGTAAATGGCATTTGAGTTTATTGAGTACGAGCGGAGCGAGTGTTTAATAAACGAGTGACTTAAAAAGTTTACCGAACGTGTTGCATACTATACTTTTTCTACGACCGTTAGTTTTTGGATACATTTTCACAAAACAACCCGAATACATTCATTGACATGACCGTCAGAATTGACAAACGTCAAAATTCAAGACGTGGGAAATATCAACGAAAACATCCGATTGCTCTTAAACCCGTGCGGTAAAATCCTGGAAATGTTCGAAGTGGCCTGATCCGTGGAAAACCAAACTGACGCGGTAAAGTGATGCTTCCTGCATGCTGGATAGCTGTGTAATTAGGCATTTTGTAGACGGGATTAGAAAAATGGTTATTATTGTTATCATTTTCTCATTTATCTACTTTTGCTTGTCATTATAACAACTAGGTATGTTTAGTTTTATGCAAAACTGGTGTGTTGAAAACGTTGTCTTGTAATTGGACAGAATCTGTCTGTTAGGGAATAAAGCGTTATTAATATTATTATTAGTATTATAAACCTGCCTTTAGTTCCCATATTGGACGTCAAAACAAAGTTTGTTTAGTCAAATTGTGATATATTGAGCCTCTTATTGATTTCTGTCCACACGGTGGATTTTGCTGACTATTTAAAATATCGTTTAAGTTTGAAAACTCACAACAGCCAAATTAATTCCGATTAGCGAGTTGTTTCAAAAATTTCTGCTGCCCATGCCCTTCCCATAAGTGAAACGAAAACTAAGGTATTAATTTTTAGAAAAAGCGCTAGCTCGTTCGATTCTTGCAAGAATTTGGGTGTGTTTTTTAAAAGCAATCTTCGTTTCGAATCGCACGTGTCTATATATTCAAAGATATTTTGACGCGAAGGTTTCGCGACTCTCTTGTTGTTTCCCTTTTATCTTATTGTAATGTGCCCTCTTCAACAAAGATCAGATAAGACTTCGGAGGCTGTAAAACGGTTGTCTAAGGTTTTGCTATCATATCAGGAAATTTGATCTCTGGATGCCTTAAATTAGACCACTTTAAAATTGTCCAGTCATCAGCGCCCCACTAGTCAGAATTCTCTGTACTCTGTCCCGCGGTACCGTACTGCCATCTATCGGTGTTCTTTCAGCTATAACGCCAATAAATGTTTCAACTCCATTCCAGATGATATCAAGTGCTGCTGAACCGCTTCCGACTTTAGAAATGTCTTAAAACTAATCTATTGTCCAGTTAATACTTTTTTCCTTTTTATTTTGCTTATTTCTTTGCAGAACCTTCGTTCCATTGAAGTGACTAACTATAAAAATGTATTTAAGTTTTTTTTTGTTAAAATGTGTATAAACGTATTTTTATAACCTCTCTTTTACAGAGATACAATCAAATTAAAATCTCTTCATTCAGGGTGGTTCGGTGAGTAGCTTTGCTAGATCTCGCCACTAATACTGATTTATTTTTTATTTTTAGAGATATTAATAAACACCTATTATTATTAATATTATATGGCATGCTCAAAATGGCGCTTTTCACGTGATTTGTGTTTTAATTAAAACTGAGTGGAACAGCAAAATTGGAAATATTATTCGGTAGTGGTAGGTCTGGTTTTCGTCACTCTATACGGCAAATGGTTTTTTATATTCATTCCACGACATAGGTTATGTTGATTATAACTCTCGTCTCGTGGAATGTATATTTGGTGGCCTATCGGGAATTTCTCACCTCCTGTTCCTGATTTTCGATCGCTCGAGCGTCGAATCCGGGTCCTTGAGCAGATAAAGCCTTACCCCCTTGATGTAGCCTCGGAAATAGAGTAGCCACGGCACGTTCGCCATGCTGAATGGGAACAGGAGCTGATCGGTCTTGTTCATCTTCGCCCATAGAGCTTGGACGTTATTGTTGCTGAATTTCCACTCGCGCAGGCTGAAATAGGCCACCGCTCCGGAAAACTTGTGCACCTTTTTGTAAAGGGACAGTAACCTGCGATAAGAAACATACAAACTAATAGGAAAGTGAAAGGAAATGGTTGATTTCTATAAAAATATCAGTCTCAAAGTGTAAATAATCGACTTCGAATTAGATTTTATAAAGACATTTTATAAGGCATCTTGAAAACGTTTGCTGCATATTTTCTTGCAATAAGTATTACAAAATTTGACTTAAGACGCTTCTTTACCAAACTACCTAACTATATATAGCTTTCTAAATTAATCAACAAATTAAAACTTTTGTTTTTGATATAATATAATACAGTCGAAACTCTATGTAGCGAAATTGAAGGGACTGCTTTTTTTCGTTATAAAGAGTTTTCTTTAGGAAGAGTTATAGGCACTTGAAAAATAACAGTACACATATATGTTCTATAATATTTAATTATTTTATATACATATTTTAACATCTGTTTAGGAACATTTTTTGTAAATATTTAAGAACTACATTTATGAATTAGTACGCCAATACGCATCTCGTACTTTGGCTTGTATTTTCATCATTTCTCTAGCTGCTTAACTGAATACAGGGCTTGTTGAATGGTTAGTGGTGGTCCCAAATCAACTTCTTCATCTTCTTCTTCCTCTTGGTGCTATTCTTCACCCTTTCTTGCTTGTTGTAATATGGCTTCTTCTGTCAAGTCAATCAAGGCAAATCCTCATCTATCACCATAAAATCTTACAACTCTTCACTTGTAAACGTAATTGTTGTTTTCAACTGTTTTATCCATTCACTTAGTGGCTGATCATCTTCCAAGTCCTGTTCGCATTCTGTCTCGGTAGTAAGTCCTGCATGACCATAGGAGTGTTGAATTGTTTCTGCTGTCAGCTCTTTCCAAGCTTTAATAATAAAGTTCATTTCCATTAAAATATTCTTCCTGTATCGACTCTTAAGACTTTTTATTAAGCTCTGGTCCATCGGCTGTAATACACTTGTAGATTTGATTTAGAATATGGGGCAGTTATCTAAGAGAAGTAATATTTTCTTCGCCTTTAATTTTGCGTGCCATTTCCGTATCTCCTGCTAGTTTTGGCCACGTCTTCTCCAGCCAATCGTTAATGACGTTTCTGTCGACATCACGGGCTTCGCCAATTATGTGTCCATAATTTTTTTGAACTTCCCCAACCATCCTTCCGAAGCCTTGAAATAGATAATGCCAAGCTGTTCAGCAAACTTTCCTGCTTTTAGTTTTACGATAATCTCAGATAGTGGTACATTTTTAAGACGTTGCTGTTGGGACCACTGCAACATTCCCGATAAAAATCTTCAAATTTTGGCTTTCTTAGTTTTTTACTAGAACTGCCTGCCGCTTCAGCCTGAATGATATTTTCTTTGCACTTCCAAATCGTGGATAGAGTCGACGGTGTCAGTCCGTGTCGACGTCCCACATCACTTTTCTTTTCTCTCCGTTCTATCTCCCGAATTAAAGCAACTTTATCATCTAGAGATAAAATTTTTCTCTTACTCTGCCATCCTCGCCGTATTCACTAAGCCAAATTAGAACTGATTGAATTAATGGTGTGCTTTTATACATACCGATAAACGCGTTGACATAATCACTTATTACGAGAAAAACACTTAGGATGACCAGGTTCTCGGTAATTTAATTATTAGGGTTAGGAATTCTGAAAAGCTAAGAGACTCCATTAATTACAAGTCGGCCTACATTACTTACTTTGCAAAGTTTCGCTATAGAGGGTTTTCACATAATCATAATGATAAAACCTGAGATTTCGATGACTTAAACAATTTGCATGGAACTTGGTTTATTATCCTATTTTTTAATTTGTCGTGGTTAAATCATAAAGTTTGTTGCTTTTTGGATAATATAATCAAGATATTATAACAATACCCTAATTTTCTCCTGGGGGTGGACAACAAAATAATAAAATTTGCGTGGCACTCTGTAGTAATTTGATCTCTAATTGCGTTTGAATCAAAAACAGTAATCCAAAATATGTTTGCTCTAAATAAAAGCCTGAGTGGAGCTCTCTCCTAAATTTTGTCCTGTTGGGTAGGCAACCAACTTGGCACCAACTTGTCCAAAGTAGTAAAAATCAACATTCTGTGGTACTTCGATCTACCGTTATGTCTGAATCAAAGAGACTGAACCAAAATTGTAGAAAGCTTGTTAGTCAGTATCCAAATAAACTCACGTAAAACTGTGCTTTTTAATATTTTATTAAAGCAAAACCGAAACTCCATGCGCAAACTGACCTTAATTGATCATGGTAACAAAACGTTGAAGAGATGTAGACCATCAAAAAAGTAAGTAATGCGAATTAATCATATTTAATGAAACCAACTAATTTAACAGCAGTTACAAACTAATATTTGAAATTTTACAAAAACAGTAGTATTTTGTCTAAACTAGTAATTTTTGATCTATGGTCGCGTCTGTATAAAAGACATTAATCCAAAATGTGATTGGTCTGATCTGAGCTCTCTCGCGCAATTCGCAATTTGGGGTCTTTACTTTGGTCGCTTCATTTAGTATTTAAACAAAAAGTGGTCCCGTTAGGTGCCACCGAGTGCCTACTTGCCTGGGCTTGTTTCCTGTCGCGACGAGCATCATGTCGATAAAAAATGCGGGCAGCACGTGCAACAGCACCTTCGCCAGCCAATAAAACTCCCTGCGTACCACCAGGAACGTGATGCTGCACCAGATGGCGTTCGAGAGCGGATACTGCAGTCCGTGGATGAAGTTCAGGTCCATGAACTCGCGCCAGAAGATCGGGTTCTCCGGTGAGGACACGTAGTTGTAGACGGGGACGCTCTCCGCGGTCCGGGGGTTGTCCTCGCGGGCTACGTCCCACGCGCACGCCACCATGGCGGCCACGCAGGTGTCCACGGGCACCAATTCGGCAGTTTTATCCGGGTCGCAGCGTACCACCCTCAGGGCTCCGGATATAGTACCCGCTGCGACACCCGTGGGGCCGTACATGTTGTCTATCCATCCAGGTACGGGCTCTTTGTACGTCGATACGACTGAAATCGAAATGGTATAATTAGTCTATAGGTAAACCCATAGATCAGGTATCGACAATATTTCACGTTTTTCACCGAAACTTCCACAGGCTACTGTTATTCTATTCTGTTAATCTTCTGCGTCTGGAACTGGCTCCCATTCTACTCTGCACTTGTTTATATATTGTTTGAGGGGAACGGAGCTAAAAGAGGGGCATGACTGATTCCCATATTGGCGAAAGGTTATGATCTGAGTCGTGGTTAAAATTGGTTGCTTATAGATTTCTATAGATTCTCGGATTTTTCGTTGATAGAAGAATTGATTGCATGCGAGAATATAGAGAAGATAAGTTTATTTGTCGTAGTTTTAAGGGTCTTTCATGTTCTTTGAAACTAGTTGATATTTTTCATCCTGTCTCTCTCCTTGCCGGTATACTCCTGGTATCTCAAACGCAATTTTGTTTTTGACGGATCGAAGGTGTTTTTGGACAAGTCGTGTGTAGTGGTTTTGACGTTATATTTATTTAGAACTTTAGATATGTGGTGAGTAAGTGGCAAGTGTGAGGTTGCTTGCGAAATCAGTATCTTTGGAAGGTTTCAGTAATGTGTATATTTATAACTCTAATGTGAAAATTACTAGAGAGAAGAACAGATGTAAGGTGTTTTAATTTTGGGTTCGGTGACTAGGGTTGAAAGAGTTTTGTAAGCAAGGGAGTTGATAATCGAATATATTTGAGCCGGATGGTGATGTAAAAATGTATTAAGGTATCGGTCTGTGGGTGTAGGTTTTCTGTAAATAAATTCAGTGATAGGTATGATTTTCTATTGCCAACAATCTTCAGGAATTGGAGGTTACTATTTCTTTCTAATTCAATGGTAAAACGTCTGTTAGAGTGAATAGAGTTTAAACGACTAAGAAAATCTTGGAAGAATTATTGACCATCAGGTCAAATAAGAAAAGTATCATCAACGTAGCGTTTCCATAACTTGGATTTTATATGGAAATTATAGATGACTTTCTTTTCAAAAGCTTCTATAAATATATTTGCGATGACAGTGATAACTGAGAAAACATAGCTATTCCAACCTTCCAAAGACAATGAGTTCGAAAACAACCCCACACTTGCCACTGTTCCATCATTGATCATATATCAATAGTTCTTAAGAAATATAACGTCAAAACTAAACCAAAAACTGCCGAGGAGTTTATTTGTCGTAATTTTAAATATAATGTGTATCAAAAACTAAAATTCTTGCATGCTATCAGTTCTTCTACCAACGAAAAATCTAAGAATCCATAGAATGGAATTCAGTCATGCCCCTCCGCCCATTCAAACAATATATAAGCACGTACAGAGTAGAATGCGAACCGACGCAGGAGGATTAAAGAAGATTTGCAAATAGGAAGTTCCTTTGAAAAACATCCGTCACCCTTACTAGAGGGTGTTTTTTGCTGAGGTATAGAACTTTAAGTTCCCGGCACTTTTTTAACTGGCGGCCATTTTGTCAACAGTCTGGTGATTTATGTTCAATTTGGTTTGGCATTTCAACATGAATAGCTTCTAAATTGTGCAAATTTATTTAAAAAATCATGGTCCTACGCCTATTTTAAGGTCCATCATAGGTCCATAATCGTCCATCAGAGCACCTTATTCGACTTCTTACAGTGCGTATACAAGTTATCACTTTATAGAAGATTTTGCGGAAAGATCTTGGTTTGCGCCCTTACAAAATCCAAAAATTGAAGTTAGCAAGGCGTAGATTCGGTGAATGGGTCCAAAACAATGGCCGTTGATCCGGATTTTCGAAGCGAATTTTGTTAAGCGATAAAGCTCACTTTTAGTTGAATGTTGTGTATGTTGAGTCACCGTTATCTCCAGAAACACTGGTGTACTTTATGGGCTAGTGAAATGTTTGGTCCGTACTTCTTTAAGTTACAGTCAACGGTGATTGTTATAGAGCCATCAATTGAATAGTTATTATGTAAAGGAGCAATGGTTTCAACAAGACGGCGCAACATGTCAGTTGACCTCTAGGATCGTGTCATTTAACGCCGCTAGACTATTAATTCTTGAAAATTGGACCTCCAAATTGGACTGCGTCCGAGCCAGCCGTGGCGGTTATACGCCAGAAGTCATATTTAAATTACTATGCGAGAAAATTATCTTTCGAGCAGGATAAATTTCGTCTCCATTAAAAAAATCAACTTTGTTTATCGAGTTTTAAGAATCCGGATGGAAATTACGCCTCTCGGAGGTCGATTCAGAAACTCCAAAATGATTACCAGCGTTTCATCTTGACCTGCAGACTCAATTTCTAAAAATTATTTATTATCCTACCTATTCCGGGTCGAAAAATTCCGATCGGGAGTCCGTTCCCGACGTTTCGGACGACGGATTCGGCCAGAGCTTTGGTGAAGGTGTAAGTGTTGGGCCACTTTCCTAAAATTCTACAAATAAGCGCGTATGATAGCGGTTGTCTAACGCGCGGTTATTAAATTTATACCTGGGGGTGCAGACTTCGGCTTCTTCGGGGGTTAATTTTTGCAGCGCCCTCTCCAGGTCCTCGTAGTCGACCGGCACGTCGTAGCACTTTTCTTCTATCGTTTGCTGCGTGCAATGGGAGTAGGCGGTGGAAATGTGCAGCACGGACTGCAAATGGGGAGAGTACTTGTAAAATTTAGCGGCACAAATATTTTGTTGGACATTGGGCAATATTTCTTACATTATCTTTTGAAACTGCGCAAAAATTGACAGGAAGAATACAAAAGCGAAATAACAATCAATAACATGTAATAATAAAGACGGCGTTTGAAAAAGATGCGGCAATGTTTCAGGAAAAAAGTTTTTTTTTCAGGGAAAAAGTTCCCATAGGTGAAACAACTTAATTAAACTCATTTCTATAAAACAGCATCATAGATAATGACTGTAGGAATATTTTAAGAACGAAAAACAGTTAATCGAGTTATATGTCCCAAACTGCAGATGAAGCCCATTGAAGCTATTTATTCGATTGTAATATTGTAAAATACGCTCTTAATTATTCCAACCTTTGTAACGGCCAGTTCGAATAAAACTTTATTTCGTTTTTCGTGTAATAAATGTTTTTAAAAACGCTCTCCCGAATTTTGAACATTTAAGTGGCGCAGTCGGAACGGATTTTCTAAGTGCAGTACTGGTGGACAATTAACCAGAATCTTCTGGGAGTTTCTTTGAAATCGCCAATCGAGGAAAGTTCGAAAACATTTGGACACCCGCTACGTGGATTTTCAAATCCTTCAGCACGCAGAACCTGCAGCAAGGGAAGCAGAACGACGGTCTACGAAGGTACAACCCGCATGCGACGAGTTGGAAAATTGAGCCGGAAAGGAGACGGAGAAATACGAAACCGTAAGTGCCATTTCCTTTTGCCCCTCCGATACCTCTGTATAAGGTCACTTGAACGGATAGTTTAGGGCTCGCATTGCACGCGATTAGGTTAAGAAAACAAGAAAAGAAAAAAGAAACAAATCAAATCAAATCGTAAATGAGCGATTCTGAAATCGAAAACCTCGAAAAACAATTCAATTCAATTTTAAAGTTAGGGAACAAAACACAAAAAAGAGTCAAAACAATGACCCAACAAGGAAGCTGAGGTAGTATGAGTAGTGCGGAACCTAGATTTAATTGGAATCTTTTTAAATCTAAAGTAGATAACATAAAACCTTATGACGGAAATAGCGACACGCTAAACAAATTTATTGCGAAAGATTAATAAATTCCTACGTTAGTTTAGGAGATGCGGAACTAAATAGCCATATCTTCGATTGTATCATACACAAACTAGTAGGGAAAGCAGAGTTAATGGTAGGAAACCGATCAGATTTGACAGATTGGTTAAGCATAAAAAATTTAATGCTTCGCAGATAGGAGAAATTAAGATTGTCTAATTCAGGAATTAACTAGAACAAGACCGTTCAAAAACTAACATTTAGTTGATTTCGGTGGTAGGCTACAACTTTTAAAGAGTAGTGTAATACAGCGGATTAGTAATTCAGAAGATTTAGATCAAAATGAAAAACTATTCCATGTTAATTATTACAACAAAATCGCGCTCGATACATTCAAAGCTGGATGCACCGGGACGCTCAATAACAACATGCATTTGAAACAACCGGATTATTTAGAGGAAGCCATTGCTTATGTTTCTGAATTTGAAAATTACGAAGTACGATGTTAACGGTGTGCACGTATTTTCAATCGCTCCGATATTTTCGAATTTTCCCAGTGATATAGTGTAAAGTAATTTTTATTTTTTTTGGTGAAGTGAAACACAAACATTGCCATGAGCAGTGCAAGTGATGGCAGAAGAAGTAAATTAAAAGGGAACCCAAAAACAAGGCATTTTTCTATTGGATCCCTGCCCGCCCAAGAAATAACAAAAAGTGAATATCTAGACGTAGACAAAAAAACGGAGGAGATAAGAACGTACATAAATAAATATAACACAGAAAAAACAGTAGATAAACATGAACAAAAAATGGTTGATTCTGGTAAGGACGATCAAGTCAATAAAAATATGACTGATAACGTTTCTTCACAAATTATACAGGGTGGAACTAAATCATCAGGTGCTATTAATGAATTTAAAAACATGGATATTTTTAAGCCAAAACATAATGTGTTGCGTACACCTCCAAAAATAGTACACACACAAGAGCAGGTGAATACAGAACAATTTTCTAATAAGAGATTGAGATCAGAAGTAAGTCCAGAAGTGGAGGAAAATCATAAAAAGAGACAAGCGGAACCTAATGAAAATGAAAACAGATCTACAAAACTGGATTTCTCCGAAAATTTTATTCAGAAAATGTTTGACAACTTAGATACAATTAACGAGTTGGCAAGTAAAACAGTTGGATTGTTCTCTAAGGATGATCAGGAACGTTTAAAAGAAGCACATAATAACATCCATAAACTCCTTACCGTAATAGTGTTTAACTATGGTAGAATAGAAAACGAGAATGTGAAGTTTAAAAGTCAGTTGGTTTTAAATGACGTGGTTAGTAAGACGTCAAAAATGATTATCCAAGAAGAAGGAATGGATAATGAATTAAAGAAAAATACCTTTGCCGACGTGCTGACAACTACCATAAATAAAAACCAGAATAATACATACACCAGCACTGATGTGAACACTATTAATAAAAAGAGTGAATCGTGGGTAACGCCAACAACGAACAAGAGGCACGAAACGATTATTCGTGTCGAAAATGTCACAGATCCAAAAGAAGCCCTCAGACAGTTTAAAAAAGAAATAAACAATGCGAATATTGGAAAAGGTTTTAAAAGTGTCAAGCAAACCAAAAGCGGCGTTATAATTTTGGAAAGTTTTGACAAGGATCAGCAAAATAAATTAAAAGTTGCCATACAAGAAATAGAATATCTGAAATTTAAGGAGTCCCATATCAATGACCCCATGTTTATGGTAACTGGAATTCAAAAGGGCTTTTCAAATGAAGAGTTTCTCGAGGAATTAGAAGGACTGAACAACGAAATTGTGCAGGAACTTGGATATAATATATGTGACAAAATCCAAGTAATAGCGAAAAAGCAGTGTCGCAACCCGACTAAGGAAAACTGGATTCTTCAAGCCCCGCCACCCATCTCAAAATGGTTTTTGAAAAAAGGGATAATATTTTTCGATCTGATAATGGTTTACGTACAAGAACACTATAATTTGTAATGTAATGTAACTAAATATTGCTCTGAGAAAGAATGTTGTCACAAATGTGGAAAGGAACACAAAGCGGCGGATTGTACTGAAAATGTTTTAAATTGTTCAAACTGCATAAAGTTAAAGCTAGATGATTGGAAGCACTCTGCCAGAGACAAAAGTTGCCCGGCATATAGAAGAAGGTTAAAAGCATATAGAAATAATATTAATTATAATGATTTTTTATAAAAGGGACCCCAATAGTGAGTACAGGTTGTCGGTCAAAGGAGTGTGTTACAAATACTTTAGTTGATAAAGGGAGACACTCTGCAGATGAATGCTCCATAATTCATCAAAACGTCCAATCGTTAGGGAATGCGGTGGACAGCATAAATAACATGCTTCAAAATAACCTTTCATGTAAATTGTTGTGTGTAACAGAACACTGGAAAACTCAGGCAGAATTAAAAACGTTAGTGATCAAAGACTTTGACCTAGTAAGTGCCTTCTGTCGAGAACATAGAGAACATGGAGGAAGCGCTATTTATGTGCATAAATCTGTGAGGTGTAAACCGAGAAATAACCTAAGTGAATTATCAATAAAAAAAGTTTTTGAGTTCACAGCAGTAGAGTGCACATTTAAGAAAGATCGGTTAATAGTTTTGTCAATTTACAGACCTCCATCAGGAATTATAGACGTCTTCTTATATTGCTTAGAAAAGGTACTCTTAGATATATTTAAGGAAAATAAAAAAATTGTTATAGCGGGGGATTTTAATATAGACATGCTTAGAGAAAATGAACACAAATTAAGCTTAATTTCACTAATGGCTTCATTTAACCTTTTGCCTACGGTTTTTGAAAACACAAGGGTAACGTCACATACAGCAAGCTGTATTGACAACATCTTTGTGAATTGTGAATACGGAAACACTCTAGTATTTGACGCTTTCATTTCTGATCATACTGCTCAGAAAATTATATTACCTTTAGAGAATTTTAGACAACATACGGCTCATTTGAAAAGAATCTTTTCAGAAAAAAATAAGCAAACCTTTATAAACTGCCTACAAGAACAAAAGTGGGAGGATGTAATTATGTCAGAAACGGATGATGTCAATCAAGAGTGGAACTTTTTTATGAATCTTTTCTCTACACTGTTTGATCAACGTTTTCCTAAAAAAACAATAAGAAACGCTAGTGGTGTAAATCATATAAAGATAATGATGAGATTAGAGAATGTAAACGAAAACTAGATATCTTGTTAGTTTTGGCTAGACAAAGTGCTCGATATAAACAGGAATACAGATTTGTTAAGCGAAAATATGATAATCTTTTGAAAACTGAACGATCTCAGGCATATGACATTAAGCTAAAGCTTTCTGATAATAAAACCAAATGCATGTGGTCAATATGCAATGAGATTTTGGGTGGAAACAGTTTAGGGGCTGACATTGGTATGAGTGAGGATCCTAATCAAATGTCAAATGATTTTAATGAATATCTGTTGAACGTTGTACCTGAATTATTGGAAAACCTAAAAAAAAGGCCATTTTCCAATAAAATACCCGTAAATTCACAGTCCATGTTTTTAACACCGGTAACACCAGATGAAATCTGTCATTTGGCTGAACAAATTAAAAATAAACATAGTAGTGGAATAGACGAGATTCCAACCAGTATAATAAAAATTTCTGTCCCGTATGCAAGTGAAGTGTTGTGTCTTTTGATTAATGAATCATTTGAAAATGGCGTTTTCCCAGACCAACTTTAAACAGCATTAATAAAACCGATCTATAAAAAGGGAGATCCGGAAATAATTACCAATTATAGACCAATTAGCCTTTTGCCCGGGTTTTCTAAAGTATTTGAGATGGCTATTTGCAAAAGACTCCAAGAGTTTTTTAATAAATATAAAATGTTCAACAATCATCAGCATGGTTATGTAGCTAATAAA